AAAAAAAAAAAAAAAAAAAAAAAAAAAAAAAAAAAAAAAAGCCAATGGACCACCTGGGTGATTTAAAAAGTTTTGAGTTTCACCAAAATGGAAACACCTGTGAAATGGGCCTGTGAAGTTTTGGCGGAGGAGAACTTGGTTCTTGAAAAGATTAGAATTTAAAAGATCCCCCTCCCTTTTATTGAGACAGTGTTCACTAAGTTGCCCAGGTTGGACTTGAATTTATGACCCTCCTGTCTCAGCTTCCCAGAGTTCTGGGATTACAGACATGTTTCATCACACCTGGCTGAACTTTTGCCTTTTTTTTGAGACAGGGTCGCACTTATGTAGTGAGACTGACCTGGAACTCACTGTGTAGCCCAGGCTGGTCTCGAACTCACAGTGATCCTCCTGCCTCAGCCTCCCAAGTGCTGGGATTACAGGTGTACGCCACCACACCCAACTTTGGCTGAAATTATTTAAGTTTTTTGTTTTTGTTTTTTTTTAATCTTTTTTGTTTTTTTGATTCTCCTGCCTCAGCCTCCTGGGTGCTGGGATTATAGGCACGCACCATCACACCTGATTTAAAGGTCTTTCAAGAGAGAACAGACATGCTTTTGCCCCGCATAGTTTAATCCCCATTTTTGTAAAGGTTACAGAGGCAGATCAGGTCATTTCCCAAAGCTCCTTCTGATTCTATGACTTAGAGATAGAATTAATTCTTTGCAGGGAGTGGTGGTGCATGCCTGTAACCCCAACATTTGTGAGACTGAGGCAGGAGGATCTCCATGAGTTTTGAGATCAGCCTGGATTCCATGGTGAGCTCAAGGACAGCCTGAACCCTATCATAAAACATATTTTTTGGTCAGATTTTGTTTCCCCATCAGGCAAATGTGAGGCAGCTTCGGGAGCAGCACCCCCAGCAGGCAGGAGCCCTTTCGAATAGCTGTCCTTCTGCAGCATCTGTGGTTTCATCTTGGCTGTGGCTATTGACAGTGTGTGACCCACCACGAAAAGGCCACCAGCAGCCTTTCCCTACACACTGGCAAGTCCCAAAGAGAGGATTAAAAGCCAGTTTCCCCACCCAGACAGCCTTGACTATAAAGCACAGGGTTCACAACAGGGTAGCAACCAGGCACTAGGAACGCTGGGATTTCTACAGGCCTTTTCAGAGCACCTGGGGCCAGGCACATGGCAATTAAGGTCCAGTATCCAGGGCTGAAGCTACGTCCCCCCGCCCCCGTGTCTAAAACTGCGTCTGAAAGGGGTAGCCATCATCTGTCCAGACCCAGATGGCGGAGGACATTTCGTCCTCTGGGTCCCAGAGCGAAGTGACACTTCGCCTGCTGTCCCTCACTTGGGATAAAATGGTTTCGATCTACACGTGTAGTCAACAAGACGGCAAAGCCAATGTCGCCTGCCCAAGTGAATTCCCTGCCCCGGAACGTGCGATGTCTTCACTATAAGTCTCGGGGGCCTCTGCCCTTCCACACTGGACTGAGCGCTCGGGTGTCCGGACCCCGCTAGGCTGCAAGCGCTGGAGGTCGGGACCCGTGCCTCCCGCTGTCCCCGCTTCGTGGTGCAGGCCTCAGGTGATCCCGGGGGAGGGACCGTCGGGGTCTGGGTTCTGCCGCTGTGTGGAGCGTGCCAGGCTAGGCTACTGCTTGTTTAGTTATGCATTTATTTGTAAACTTTAATGGCACATTCTGCTTAAATCAAACATCCCAACATTACCATTGCGATATATAAATCATCCAGGGGCCCCTCGACGTCC